GAAAACACTGACCAAGGATATGTCATAGTTTGTCTTTATGTGGATGACATGCTTATCATTGGAAGCAGTCAAAACATGATCAAATCAACCAAACAAATGCTTAACAAAAGATTTGATATGGAAGATATGGGGATCGCAGATGTTATATTAGGAATGAAAATTACTAAAACATCTGACGGATATGCATTATCTTAATCACATTATATTGAGAAAATTCTTGGTAAATTTATCAAGGATGGTTTGAATTTAGCTAGAACACCTGTAGATATCAATCTTTATTTATCGAAAAATAAAGATGATGCAGTGTCTCAGTTAAAATACTCCCAAATCATTGGAAGTCTAATGTACCTAATGAATTGTACTCGTCCTGATATAGTTTATGCTATCAGTAAATTGAGTAGGTACACTAATAACCCGGAGAAGACCATTGGAAGGCAATCATTCGGGTTCTTAGATATCTAAGATTTACTCGTGATCATGATTTAAACTTTACTCGATATCCAGCAGTACTCGAAGGTTATTGTGATGCCAATTGGATATCGGATACTAAAGATTCAAAATCCACTAGTAGATATGTCTTTACTCTGGGGGGCGCTGCTGTTCTTGGAAATCCACAAAACAAACTTGCATCGCACGATCCACAATGGAATCTGAGTTCATTGCTTTAGACAAAGCAGGAGAAGAAGCAGAATGGCTTTGTCACTTCTTAGAAGACATTCCAATGTGGCCAAAACCTGTGCCAGCTATTTGCATTCATTGTGATAGTCAATCTGCAATAAGCAGGGCACAGAATCATATGTATAACGGTAAGTCACGACATATTCGTTGTCGACATAATACCGTAAGGCAATTGTTGTCAAACGGAATAATCTCAATAGATTATATAAAATCTAAAGAGAATATTGCGGATTCGTTAACAAAATGTTTGACAAAAGAGCTAGTGTATAGTTCATCGAAGGGGATGGGATTAAAGCCTATCACATAAGAGTCGTCATAATGGTAACCCTACTTATATGACTGGAGATCCCAAGAACTAAGTTCAAATGGACAACTAAGTTATGTATGGCTGGCCAGAAATCACCAAGGGATTAAAATTCCTTACCCATTCCTATGGTAAGAGTAATATCTGCAACATACGTTGTATGCAGGGGTAAAAGGATAAATTTTGCTTTTAATGATTACTTATATCTTGATTTAGGTATAAAATCAAGATGAGTATAAGGAGATGCTCACAATAAGAATCACCTATATGAGTGTCGAACTGGGGCCGGTTCTATGAGAATATAAGAGGCTAAATTCTCTAGGAACACTTATGAAAATCAGGAATGTTCAAGGCCAAAATGAACACAACAGTAAGAACCACAATGTGTTAGAAGATATTTTGTGTGAAATCTATTGTCTTGGCTTACACAAACGGCTGAACAATTCAAGGCATAGCGTTCATTGGTTAGCTAGTAATTCTGATAGGTTATCACTAGGGAAGGTTCAAGGCCGAAAGCTACCTATCCTGATGCAAGATATTTTCGACTTATACTCTTTCGATAAAGTGTGCATATTGTTGCATTTTCGTTGTCATCAAATTCCATTCATGTGGGGGATTGTTGGAAATGGTTTAGAAATTCTGGGTTAATAAACAAAAAATTTTCCATAGTTTGGTCTATTTTTTAGGTGGACCCCGTGCGTCGATTTTCATGGGTCAAAGTGGTAACGCGTTCTATGTCGCGTTGTGATTCACGTGGTATATTTGGTTGCTCAAAACCATTACCGAGTGAATGGGAAATTGAAGCCAAAGTATGCTCCATGGAAATGGAGTTTTGGTGGAAAATCCTTAAAGGTTTGAATAAGGCTTGTCCCACATTAGTTTGGTGGGAAGTTTGAATGGGTTTATAAAGCATGGGATTGGAACTTGGGGTGTACTCCAAGGGGTACCCAAGTGTTTTAGAGAGGGAGGTTATGTGCAAAATGGGCTAGACCTATTAGACCCAAAAATCACCACACACGCGGGCGCGCCGCCGCCACTGTCCGTCTAGTCGGTCTGGCGGGCTAGGCTGGGCCTAGGCTTGGACGCGGGTGCGTGGTGTGAGGTTGGGATGGGCTTGTCCGGCCCAATACCTTTCTTTTTGAGTCAAAAACATTTGAATTGAATTTTATTTTTTGAAAAATAAAATCCATAATTCAAATTAATTTCAGAAATAAACTGGTCTGGTTTTACTGTACACCCAAACAGGGCCCTTCTCGTTTTTTATCTGTTTGAAATTTTGAACCCAACAGACTTGTATCTGTTTATTCAAACTGAACAGGTATCATACCTGTTCAAATAGGTTTTGCACCTGTTTAATTCAAAACTAACAGCCACAATTCTGCCTATAAATAGATCAGCCCTTCATTTGATTTTTACATTCAGAAATTTCATACTTCACTTCTGCAAATTTATTCTTCATATTGCTGCATTTAATTTTTGTAAGAAAGAGTATAAACACTTAGTGCGCTCGTTAGGCAAACAATTTGTAGTGTTGCTATTGTTTGTAGTTGATCATTTCATCTTGGGAGATAGACGTCTATATTCTGAAAGCACCGAGGAGAGGACGAATCTGTCTTAAGGACACAGTGTCAAACACTGGACTTGATCAGATATTTATTAGAAGAAATTAATCAAGTAAGTTGTTTAATTTATTATTCTGTTTTATTTGTTTATTAAATCAGATTTTAATTTTGTTTTTGTAACAAAATAAAATTTATTTTTATTTATTTATTTCTAGTTTGATTTTTATAATCAAACAAATTCTCTCATTTCCTTTATTTCTTTATATTTTTGTTGTTATTTAGTACACAACAGAATTTAATCTATTTAAATACAGTGAAGATTGTCCAACAAGGAGATGTGATAAGCTTGGTAGGTGTTTGCAGCTACGGATTGTTTGTTTGGGTCTATGTTATAGAGAGACAGAGAGAGAGAGAGATGAGTGTTTGTTTGGGTCTAAATTCTAAAGAGAGAAAGAGATGAGTATTTGTTTGAGTCTAAATTCTAGAGAGAGATATATATATATATATATATATATGTATTTGATGATGGTATGAGAGATGTGTGATTTGCCATAGGATGAGAAAGAAATGAGTGAAGAAGAAGAAAAGAAAAAGAAAATAGAAAAATTAAAGCAAAATGAGAGAGAATGTTCTAATTTGTAATGGCATTAAAAAAAAAAATTAGAGAAAGAAATAAGAGAAATTTAGACTTTTTACAACTTCTGTTACGTCTATCTGAAATTGCACTCTGGTATAATGTTCAAGGGATTCAAATGTTACAAATGAAATTACAGGAAGCTCCGTATTTTTTAGGTAAACCATAGGAGGGTTAAAGTGTAATTTACCCTTTTATTATATAGGAGAGCAGTTATAAATTTTATTTTTTTAGTTAATTTAGTTAAATAAAAAATTCTGATAAGAAATATTTGTAATTTTGCAAATTATAAGGACTAATTTGTATTTAAAATAAATCTCATGTATTTGTAATTAAAAAAAATAATTACAAATTATTGACTACGCAAGTGAGAATTGTGCGATTCTGCACATTTTTGAATAGTCCAAATGGCTGAAACTTTTCTATTTTTTATTCATATAATATCTCTCCATTATTTAAAATGGAATCCCGCTAAGGTGGCGATAGTCGAAATTGGCAACCATTTAAAACAAAAAAAATGGCATATTATTACATTATTATTATAATTTCCCAACCTGCATTCTCTTCTCTTCTATATAAATATATGCCAAACCAGTGAAAGAAAAACAAACACAGACCAAAGAGCAAAGTTCTATAGGGAAAAAAAAAAAGAAAAAACGAAACAAACATTAGAATTGAAGATATGGAATTGCTCTTCAAATCTGCTTTCTCTGTGGGGTTGCTCTTCTTAACCAGTTTCATCCTTTATCTCTTCAATAGATTTTGGGTGAGGCCTCAGAGGCTTCGATCAAAGCTTCGTACCCAAGGTCTGAGAGGTCCTTCACCTTCATTTCTTCTTGGTAACACTCCTGATTTCATCAGATTCCAACCCAAAGACATCAAAGCTCTTACTCAAGATGGTGAAGCCACACACGATTGGGCTCGATTCACCTTCCCATTATTCGACCATTGGACTAAACAGTATGGTATGTATTAACCAATTGCAAAACCCATTTACTGCTATACTTGTTCATGTAATTTCCAATCACAAATGTTGATTTGGAGTGGATTTTGACAGGTCAAAGGTACAACTTTGCTTTGGGAACATATCAAGTGGTTTACATTACTGATCCACATTTGGCCAAGGAAATAAGCCTCTCCACATCACTCAAGTTGGGAAAGCCTTTTTTCCTACAAAAGAACTCAGAAACCTTGCTCGGTAAGGGCATACTTACCTCAGATGGAGAGTTCTGGGCTCACCAAAGAAAAACCATAGCTCCTGAGTTCTATGCGGATAAAGTTAAGGTACTAATACAAATATAAAATATTCACCGTAGCTGTTACAATTTGAATTTGCAAACTATTTACTCCATAGAGAAATTGATCAAATGGGAAAAATATGATGCAGAATTTGGTGCACATAATGTTAGACTCTGCAAACAAACTAATCAACACATGGGAGACTGAAATAGAAAAACAAAGTGGGACAGCAAATATCAAGGTTGATGAGGATTTGCAGAGCTTTGCTTCTATTGTCATCTCTGAAACATTGTTTGGGCATAGCAATTCCAAAGTGATTAATGAATTGCAATCAAGGCTCAAGCGTCTCGAAAGGGCCATGAAAACTCCAATCCTTGTCAGCGGCGTTCCTCTGGTTTGTGGTAGGTGTTTGAAGATCTTTTTATCATGTGTCATTTTGGATTTGTGAAGTAATTATTTTTAAGTATTTCTGCTTCTTTTTTTGTCTTTAGATTGCTTTTAAAAATAGTTGTTATTTAGGTACATTCCAACCAAGAGCAATTTAGAGAAATGGAGATTGAAGAAAGAGATACATTCACTGATTATGAGTATTGTAAAAGAGCATTCATCTAAGGTAGATGTACTACAAGCGATCATCAATGGAGCTAAGATGAGTGCTCCTGGACTAGCTGCAGCAGAACAACTCATAGTCGACAACTGTAAGAATGTTTACCTAGCAGGGCTTGAAAGCACAGCAAACACTGCAGCCTGGACCTTGATGTTGCTTGCAACACATCCAGAATGGCAAGATCGTGCCCGTGCAGAGGTTGCTGAAGTTTGTGGTGAAAGCTTGCCCGATGCCACTATGCTTGGCAAAATGAAAGTGGTAAGTATGAGTCAAGAAATTTTTGCATTAAAAATTTGTGGATGAGTTTTTTCCTCGTGCACAATCTGTTCATTAGCAAGATTTGTGAAAATTAATTATATTTTCCTTTAATTTGAATTGTAGTTGACATCAGTCATTCAAGAATCATTAAGACTCTACCCTCCAGGACCCTTTATAGCAAGAGAAACCCTAGAAGATATGAAGTTCGGAGACCTTGAAATTCCAAAAGGTGTTGGCGTTTGGGTTGCTGTGATGCCACTTCACCATGACCCTGAACTTTGGGGTCCTGACCCAAGCAAATTTAACCCGGATAGGTTTGCTAATGGCATAGGAAGTGCTTGCAAAATCCCTCAAGCATATATTCCTTTTGGTAATGGTCCCCATATCTGTGCTGGACAATTATTTGCGATGCTGGAGATAAAGGTTGTTCTAGCTATCATTCTCTCCAAATTTTCCTTTTCCCTAGATGCAAATTATGTCCACTCCCCAGTGATGGAGAATATTATACGACCAGGACATGGAGTAAACCTTATCATGCAGAAGTTGACTAAGTGAATCTTTGAGGAATACTAAAGAATCATATCTAATGCTATATAAAGGAATTGGGTGATTATGTGGTTTCATGTATACATGTTAGTTGTCGGGCAGACACAATGCATGAGCAAGTCTAGTTATGTAATAAAGTAAAAGAATGACGTTCAGTTCTTCCATTTTTGTAAAATTGTAATAAGCTTGAAAAATATACATAACAATGAAGTGTCTGTGAAAAGAGTTGTTTACTTTCATCATCTGTGTAGGTTAGGTTGCTTCCTGTTTCCGAGGTCTATCTCAAGTAAGCTGTGTTGTATTATTTAGGATTTTTTTTTTTTTTCTTTTCATTTAAATTCAGTGACTTCCAAAACAAAACGTTTAACATTAAATTTTGAATGTGTAATACAATCTTTTGTGTAGTACAGATTTAAATTAATAAACGTAGCATGCACAATATCATATTTGAGCCATTCACGCAAAAAAAATTTATCATTCACCCAAAAAAAAAATATTTGAGCCATGTATTTTCTGAGCTTTGAGTACAAAATATAAGACTAAGATAAATACAGCTTCACTAGTTCCATTTTGGATAAATTACACTTTGTTCCTTTTATGTTTAGTTACTTCCTCACTTTGACTCTTAAAACTTATTTTTTTCCACTTTGATTCTTCAAGTTTCAAGTTTTTCCAAATTTACTTCTAAAGTAAGGGTGATCACAAATCGGGTAGGGTCGGGTGGTATCCCATCCGCCATCCGTTCAAAATTGGGCGGATTGAAAAAAATCAATCAACATCCATCCACCATCTATTGAGCGGACCATGCAGGTTGGCGGATAGATGCGATCAGTTTGGCGGTTTGGACTTTACAAATTTTAGACATTTTTTTAAATTATAATTCATAACTTTTACAATCTCTAATAAATGGTAATATGAAAAAAATATGCATTATTTGTTTATAATAGACCATGGCACCATGGATGCATATTTTTTAGGTATTGTTTTACATTTTCACAAAAGTATATATTTTATTATTTCTAATCTATGTTGTTACTCGTTAATGGTTTCTTTTTTTCTTTTTCTTTTTTTTTTTTTGAATTTCATTTACGATGGATCAGGTTCATGCGGGTGCGGGATAGTTGATCCGCTATCCGAACTGCATTTTCAAATTTTGAAATACTTCATCCGCATCCATCTGCCAAAAGACACTCATCTGCTGTGGCTATTGTCACTATTGTTAAGAATAGTTCTCTGTTTTTTATTCCTCCCATGTCCCTTCTCTCTTTTTTGGTTTCTTTTTTTCTTTTTCTTTTTTTTTTTTTGAATTTCATTTACGATGGATCAGGTTCATGCGGGTGCGGGATAGTTGATCCGCTATCTGAACTGCATTTTCAAATTTTGAAATACTTCATCCGCATCCATCCGCCAAAAGACACTCATCTGTCCAAAATCAATTTGGTTGGGTCGGTTTTGTCGGGTTGTATGGGTTGGACAGATCCATAATCACCCTTATTCTAAAGTTAATTTATGTTCAAAATTAGACAGAAAATGCCATGATAATTGTCAGATAATATAAAAAAATATTATTATATTAGGATTTGAGTTTGTGTCAAAAAAGTGAGTTATATATAATAAAATATTTTTATACCACGTGATAGCTAATATGTCGTTTTCTGTCTTAATTTTTAACAAAAGTTAGCTATATGAGTAAATTGAGAAAAACTTGAAACATAAAGAGCTAAAGTGGAAAAAAAAAAAAAAAAAAAAAAAAAAAAAAAAAAAACCTTAAAAGCCAAAATGAAAAAATGGACAAACATAAAAAGGACAAAATGTGATTTACCCTTCAATTTTTCTGTACAAATGCGCAACCAAAAACCTTCAATGAATTAAATTATATATCACAAACTAATTAAAAAGCTATGTTTGTTGCTATCGGACTCTAAACTGTCAATGGATCAGACGTGACCCAAATCTTGTCAGTACAATAAAATTGGATTTACGGTTTCACTTCAACGACATATAATAAATATAAGCTGTAGTTTCTCACTCTTACGACTTGTCTTTTTTGTATGTCGTAAATAATTTTCCAACCACGACGTGTCTATTGTGTAGGTCGTGAATGCTAATAAAGATGATTTTTTTACGGCTTGCAATGTTAGCTGTAAATAATAAAACTTTTTATGACGTGTATATGACATATCGTTAATACATCAACTATACACGACATGTGTACACCAACTGTTAAAAATATTAAACGTCTCACGACGCACAAAAAGCCAACCATTAAAAATTATACTTTCTACGACTGACAAAAAGTCAGCAGTTTAAAATATTACACTTTCCACGACACGCAATTATTGTCGTGAAAGGTACGATAAAAAAAAACGCCAAAATAAAAATTTCGAGCACCAAATACTTAAAAAAATAAAAAATAAAAAATCAAATCAAATGCTGAAATCCCTAAATTCATTCTCACGCCCAACCCAGCTCTAGTCTCTCTCTCTCTCTTTCTCTCTCTCTCTCTTGCAGTGGCGAAAACACCGGCGTGTGCAGTACCCCCTCCGGTAACAACTCCAGCGTAGTGTCACGGCCTTGGATTTTCCAAGCCAACCGTGCGGTCTTAGATGCTTATCAACTCACTTGGTTGCACCTAAGTCAGCCTTCCCTACTCAACCACACTAACTAAAACACAAAGTTTAGGTGGAAGAATGTATTCACTATACAAGTATAGTTGTGTACAAAGCTTTACAAGGCTCTGACCCTCACAAGTGCTTTACTCTTAGAGCTCTCTTGGATCTCATCTCTTCTGGATCCCCTACAAATGAGACTCCTCCCCTTATATAGCCATCCTCCTCCTCAATGGATGGCTAGGATCATTTTGATCCAAGGGCTACAAGCTCTCATCTAGAACCCTCCATAGAAATATCTAGGATAACTACCCTTCTACTACCTTCTAGAATTCTCTATACTGGTGTAGCACATGGTAGGCTTCTCCATGATATTCTAGAATGTTCCAAACCCATCCAGACTTTTCTGGACCCTCTAAGGTTCTTCCACCATATTCCGAAATCTTTTAGGCCACTCCGGACCCTTCCACTAGGTTCTAGAGCCTTCCAGTATACTCTAGCTCGTTCTCACACCTTCCGGAACCTTTCAGTGCCTTCAGCACACCTCAAACGCTGTTCATTGTGTCACAAAAATTCTCGGGGCGTGACACTCTCCCCCACCTGATCTCGTGACGCCCTCGTCACGTAGAAGCATACCAAGTCACCACATCTTGATACAATCTTTCTCTGTTGTTACTGTTAGTGCTTACCACTTCGTCCTTACCCTTGCCATACTGCTTAGTCTGCTGCATTGCCGCAAGTGTCTTCTCCTTCTTTTTGAGTAGCTGACTCCTGGCCACCAACGGGACCTTACATGGTCGATCACCTGCAAACAACAACATGGTTGCAGCATGCGAGACTGGCATCACATTGTCCTTCCTTATGAAATCCATCCCTAGGATTATGGGGTGGTCATCCATCTCAATGACTGAGAACTCCACCTATCCAGTCCAACTCCCAATGGTCATGTCAGCATTCCTCACTACACCTTGGATTGGCTTGGCCTTTGCGTTTACTGGCTTGGACCAGCCCTTGTCCTCTTTCATTTTCAAGCCCAGCCTCTTAGCCTCTTCAGTGCTCACAAAGTTATGAGTGGCACCTGTATCTACCAACGCATGTGAAGTTATCCCATTAACCTTCACCTCTGCGTAAAGCACATCCTTCTTCTGGATGCTCCTCGACTCTTGCATCTTCTCATTCTTCTTGGATATTAACCCAAGAAGTTGGATGCTCCCCAGTTGTGCTTCCTTCTCTGAAGGACTTTCGCTATTGGAGCCTTTTGTTTCTTTCTTCTTCATGGCACTAAACGCCTTCTTCATTGGGCAGTTCCTCACCATGTGCGGTCCGTTGCACAGGAACACTCAAGCCACCCTTTGTCTTCATGCTTCTTCTTTGGAGATCCGGTGCGTTGCCCATTCTTTCGTCGTTCCTGTCTCTTTTGGGACTCTTCATCACTGCGCTCATCATCGATGGTTTGTGGAGACTGTCTCCCTCCTTTGGTATGAGTCTCTCTTGTGCCCTAGGGTTTCCTTAGTGCATTGAAGTCATCCAACTTCTCTGCCTCCGCTAGGGCTGTTGCAAGGTCTTTTACTCTCTGACTCTACAACTCTCTTGCTGCAGGCTGCAAACCATCTAGGAAGCCATACAATGCCTCTTTTTCTGCCATATCGGGGATCTCCAATAGCAGTGCAGAATATTCCTTCACATAGTCCCGCAATAACCCCTCATGCTTTAGCTTGCGCAGCTTCCTGTATGCTTGGAATTCGACATTGACAGGGTAGAAGTGCTTCTTTAATTCTCTCTTGAGCTTTGCCCAAGTCTCTATCTTGCACAACCTTTCTCCATGTCGGCGTACCGCCTCCTCCACCACAACATTGCAGTGTCCTTCAAATACAAGCTAGCGGTCTGCACCTTCTCGTCTTCATCTACGATGTTGACGTTCTCAAAATACCGCTCCATGTTCCAAATGAAATTGTCAATCTCTCAGGCATCCCTCGCACCATCACAGCTTTTAGGTTCTGGCGCATGAACCTTCCGCTTTGTTGGAGCCAAATTTCCTCCATTGCCAACAACTATGGCCTTCTTGCACAACTCTAATTCCACTTCCAAGCTAGCCACTCTTGCCTCTAGGGCCTTCCATTGGGCGGGACTGTCTCTAGCTACCTCAGAGAAAGACAAGTTCACCCTTTCTTCGCAGGAGTCAACCTTTTCCTCCAACTCTTCTACCCTAGCAACAAGACTAGCAAAGTAAGAGAAAAATTCTCTTATATGGGATGCGGGCTTACCAGGGCCAACTAAAGCTTCTTTCATTCTAGTGAGCCGCTCTGCCACATTCTCCATCATCCCTTCGAGTCATGCCTCCAATGCTGCAATCGAGTCCTTTGTTGAGAGCTTCTTCGCCTTGGGGACGTTAGCACCTTC